TACTATCACTTCATGTGGCATCATCCAAATAAAACAAATGGATTTGGTAATTTCGTTATAACTTTTTTTTCAGATTCATTGTCATTAGTTTCTGTGTCCATTCAAAGATTTGTACACATCCGAATTTCTGAAAATGTAATTTTCGTCCAAAAAAAAATCAAAATGAAATGAATCACACACGTCTAGTAGTTGGTCACAGTTACCTGGACTTGTTTGGTAATGTTGAAGCAGTTTGCAGCTTCTCCAAGTTTTTTCAGTTATAATCAGTGTCAGGAAGATAACCCAACATGTATGTCTTCACCCAAGCCTAATCCAATCACTATGCAATGTGTCAAGGTAGATGTTGATTGTCCAAGAACAGGTTTCTCTGTGAAATTTCCTAATTATCTAGGTCTTTATATGTCTAGTAGTAGTTGGTCACATTCAGCTTGATGTGTTCTGTAATGATAACGTTTTGTAGCTTCTCCAAGGTCTAATGAGTGCAAAGAACTTACCCCAGCATTTATACCCACACAGGTCACAACCACCCAATTATGGACCACCATGTGAATTTAACTACTATTAAAAATGGGAACCTTTCAAGACATATGTACAAATAAAAAACATACACAAGAGATCATACACTGTATATACCACAAGACATATACAAGAAGAGCCAATATATACATAATTTTAAAAAGACAAGTCTATTGAGTTCACCTAAAATATATTCCCACCAGACAAGACAAAATGGGATATACTGTATAAAAGAGAGGCAATTGTGTTCCGCCAGATTCCAGATGGAGAATATTCCCACTGCAAACCACTTAATTTGGTTGCTCCACCAACTAGCGTCCTTCTTCACTAATGACATCCATAGAATATGTCCTCAGCACCCCATAATCTATACAAAGTGTCACCTAAGGTATCAGAAGATCTCAGTGTTGTCGTGTGATCATCTAGTCCAGTGGTTCTCAACCTGTGGGTCGCGACCCCTTTGGGGGTCGAACGACCCTTTCACAGGGGTCCCCTAAGACCATCAGAAAACACATATTTCCGATGTGTAAAGAGCAGCTACTGTGTAGAAAGCAGCTGCTGTGTTGAAGGTAGCTACTCTGTTAAAAGCAGCTACTGTGTTGAAAGCAGCAGTATTGGAGGTAAAACGACACTCATGAATTATAATTACTGGGTAAATAATTTTATGGTTGGGGGTCACCACAACATGAGGAACTGTATTAAAGGGTCACGGCATTAGGAAGGTTGAGAACCACTGATCTAGTCTATGGTCTCCTGGTCTGTTGATGTATTCCATGGATGTCCCCAATGACAGGACAGTTATCACAGTCGTCAGAATAATTTCCGTTATCTGATCACCGGCACATTGTGCAGAGAACTCTTTTATTTCTTCTTGAGTCATTGTTTTGTACTGGGAGGAAGAAATAAAGTGATAATAAGATTGAAACAGACCTATTCCATCACTCTCATTACCACCGTCTCATCTAGTCCTCATCAACACTTCCCTGCCTTTAACTCCCTGCTTCTTCCCCCACCACCTCCACCCATCAAGATCGGTCACTGCTCAGGATATTGCCAATCACTGCAAAAAAAAACCCCCAAAAAACGATAGAAGCAATGTGGGATAGATATTTCCCTCACCTAATATACCATCTACCACCATATTCAAGCTTTTCCTCTTCTGATCCTTCTGCTACAAAGGTACTGCATTTTTCATGGAGACCCATGTAACCATGTGTCCCTTAGTCCCTGTCCCCTCACAACTACTCCACCAACAACCTCGCTCTATTCCAATTAGGGGAGGACTGGGCCAGGGGGCAAATGCCCCCGGGGCTGCTCTGATGCCCAAGGCCGCACTGCTTCTGCCACAAACATGCCCAAAGGCTTCCTGGTCCGGAGGCGTAAACCGAGTGCGGAATGAAGACAAGGACAGTGCGCAGGCCACTCTCCGGAATGGGTGGTGTACACCGTGCCCCGCTGGAGGCTTTCGTCCCCTGGCCAGCTCCAGCCGAGCCACCCCAGCTCCTCCCTGGACCCTTATGCCAGCCAGTTTGGGAATCTGGAGTTGGTGCAGCAGGTGCCTGTTAAGCAGAGTACGTGGAGTAGAGCTTCAGCCTGGGATGGGAGTTAGGAGGAAGCAGGGAAGAGAGAGAACGAGAGAGGGGCCAAGTCGCTGCATCATGGGCCTCTGGGTTGTACTTGCGCCCTGGGTCAAAAGCTGCCAGCCAGTCCGTTTCTAACTCACATTTATTAATTATAGGTACTTATATAGCGCTGTCAGTTACGCCGCGCTTTACATTTATATTGTACATTCACATCAGTCCCTCACCCTCAAGGGGCGTACAATCTAAGGTCCCTCACCCTCAAGGGGCGTACAATCTAAGGTCCCTAACCCTCAAGGGGTGTACAATCTAAGGTCCCTCACCCTCAAGGGGCGTACAATCTAAGGTCCCTAACCCTCAAGGGGTGTACAATCTAAGGTCCCTAACCCTCAAGGGGTGTACAATCTAAGGTCCCTAACCCTCAAGGGGCGTACATTCTAAGGTCCCTAACCCTCAAGGGGCGTACCCTAAGGTCCCTAACCCTCAAGGGGCGTACAATCTAAGGTCCCTAACCCTCAAGGGGTGTACAATCTAAGGTCCCTAACCCTCAAGGGGTGTACAATCTAAGGTCCCTAACCCTCAAGGGGTGTACAATCTAAGGTCCCTAACCCTCAAGGGGCGTACAATCTAAGGTACCCTAACACCTCAAGGGGTGTACCTAACCCTCAAGGGGCGTACAATCTAAGGTCCCTCACCCTCAAGGGGCATACAATCTAAGTTCCCTAACCCTCAAGGGGCATACAATCTAATGTCCCTAACTCACAATCATACATACACATACTAGGGACAATTTAGACAGGAGCCAATTAACCTTCCAGCATGTCTTTGGAGTGTGGGAGGAAACCGGAGTACCCGGAAGAAACCCAAGCAGGCACAGGGAGAACATGCAAACTCCAGGCAGGTGGTACCGTGGTTGGATTCGAACCAACGACCCGAGTACTGCCAGGCAGAAGTGCGAACCATCTAGCCACTGTGCTGCCCGTGTTCAATCCTTTCCTCTCTACTGCTATCTTCCCCTCCCCCCTAAAGCATTCATGATCCCCTACAATCTCCACTGTGAGCAGAGGTAATGCTGCGCTCATCGATTGCACGTATCCCAGATTCTGACAACATGCTGGCGCTGGTTTCCACCGATATTCACAGATGATGTATGCCTGGCAATGAAATACAGGGAAGCCATATATCAGTTGTGTTTGGAGTTTTATGATCACAGATGTATTTGTAATAAACATGGACTTCTCAGTAGGGGGCGCGATACCTGATAGCCCAGTTATTTGCCCAGGTAGCCGTCATTTGTTGCCCCCCTGGGGTGCGATCAGTTTCGGTGGGCAGTGGGGGTAGGCGGTCAGTGTTTGTACAGTATTGCTCTGCTCCGGTGTCTAAAGGAAAATAAAATCGAGGGATACCTGAGACTCGGCCATCTGTCAGTGCCGTGCTGCCAGCCAGAATGAATCCCGAGGAGGAATCCCCGTGTGGAATTCCCTTCACTGACATCTGCCACCTTCACTGATGGACAGTGTCAGACGGGGGTGGACTGACAACTCATGGGGCCCCCGGGCAATAAGAGATCATGGGGCCCCTGTGTCCTTGCCAACACTCAAGACAACACCCAAAAAAGCCTATGAAAGGTACCAGGGGCATCTCATGGGGCCCCTACTGACCCTGGGCCTAGCTACATGTACTGGGATCAGTCCACCAACATCTTCCACTAACAGGCTACTAACTGCCCAGCAAACACTGCAACTGCGCTAAAGCCAGGGAGATACATCTGTCTTCTCTGGATTTATTCAAGCACTCTCAGGGACTGCAGCATCTGGTCACATGATAATGTGCAACATGCTTCTAATGCTCCAATGTGTGAGTGTGGGGGGGGGGGCTGGAACCAGAGAACACACCGGTGGGCACACTGGAACAGTCATATGCAGTGATAGGCTGTAGAGTCAGAGGAATGTTCAGACCGCCGCATGCCAGATACAAAATTAAAACAAAAACACCTCCTGCGCTCTACGACCCAGAGCAAGGGTGGATGGATGGATGGATGGGTGGAAAAGGATCTTGTAGAAATTCGTCCACCAATGCACAGAAGGTTGTGCGGCTCTACACAAGGCTGGGGAAGCCCGACCAGTACTGAAAAGTGAAACAAAAAGAGAGCGCACCAACCTTGCGCATTACCCCAGTGGACTGTGATTTCATTGAATTAACCTCTTCCCGTCCGGCCCATGATGAATATAAACGGACAGACGGACGGTGGCAGTGCAGGGGCGGGCTGCCGTTCATAAACGGCGCCCGCCATTTTGGACTGTACGCACTACCTGGGAGCCGCGGCACCGATCGCTGTACGGGACCGCTGTGTGAGGTCCCAATCATGTGATCACTGATTGGCCGATCAGTGATCACATGAATAGGCGTAAGCAAGATGTCACTTGTCACCATGGTGACACTGTACTGCTAGGGTGACAGTATGAAAAAAAACAACATAAATCATAATATTAAAAAAAAATTAAATGTAAAAAAATTTGTTCTAAAAATTATAATTTTTGGTTATAAACTAATTTGGGTTATTTTTTTTTTTACTATAAAGATAACCGAATAAATTTTGGGCAAGATTTATGAAGAAAGATTATATATTTGCAAAATTTTATAAGAAAAACACTTTTTTTTTCAAAATTTTTGGACTTTTTCATTTATATAGCAAACAAAATAAAAATCCCAGCGGTGAATAAATACCACCAAAATAAAGTTTTATCTGTCTCAAAAAATAAAGCTAAAAAAATTCATATGGGTACAGTGTTGCATGACCGCGCAATTGTCATTCAAAGTGTGATAGTGCTGAAAGCTGAACATTGGCCTGGACTGGAAGGGGAGGAAAGTGTCCGGACTGGAAGGGGGGAAAGTGTCCGGACTGGAAGGGGGTGAAAGTGTCCGGACTGGCAGAGGGTGAAAGTGTCCGGACTGGAAGGGGGGAAAGTGTCCGGACTGGAAGGGGGTGAAAGTGTCCAGACTGGAAGGGGGGAAAGTGTACAGACAGGAAGGGGTGAAAGTGTTTGGACTGGAAGGGGGGGAAAGTGTACAGACAGGAAGGGGGTGAAAGTGTTCGGACAGGAAGGGGGGGGAAGTGTCCGGACAGGAAGGGGGGGAAAGTGTCCGGACTGGAAGGGGGGGGAAAGTGTCCGGACTGGAAGGGGGGGGGAAAGTGTCCGGACTGGAAGGGGGTGAAAGTGTCCGGACTGGAAGGGGGTGAAAGTGTCCGGACTGGAAGGGGGGGAAAGTGTCCGGACAGGAAGGGGGGGAAAGTGTCCGGACTGGAAGGGGGTGAAAGTGTCCGGACTGGAAGGGGGGGAAAGTGTCCGGATGGAAGGGGGGTGAAAGTTTCCAGGGGACTGGAAGGGGGTGAAAGTGTCCGGACTGGAAGGGGGGGAAAGTGTCCGGACAGGAAGGGGGGGAAAGTGTCCGGACAGGAAGGGGGGGAAAGTGTCCGGACTGGAAGGGGGGGTGGTCCGGACAGGAAGGGGGGGAAAGTGTCCGGACTGGAAAGGGGGTGAAAGTGTCCGGAAGGAAGGGGGGGAAAGTGTCCGGACTGGAAGGGGGGAAAGTGTCCGGACTGGAAGGGGGTGAAAGTGTCCGGACTGGAAGGGGGGGAAAGTGTCCGGACTGGAAGGGGGGGAAAGTGTCCGGACTGGAAGGGGGGAAAGTGTCCGGACTGGAAGGGGGGAAAGTGTCCGGACTGGAAGGGGGTGAAAGTGTCCGGACTGGAAGGGGGGAAAGTGTCCGGACTGGAAGGGGGGGAAAGTGTCCGGACTGGAAGGGGGGAAAGTGTCCGGACTGGAAGGGGGGAAAGTGTCCGGACTGGAAGGGGGTGAAAGTGTCCGGACTGGAAGGGGGGGAAAGTGTCCGGACTGGAAGGGGGGGAAAGTGTCCGGACTGGAAGGGGGGGAAAGTGTCCGGACTGGAAGGGGGTGAAAGTTTCCAGGACTGGAAGGGGGTGAAAGTGTCCGGACTGGAAGGGGGGGAAAGTGTCTGGACTGGAAGGGGGGGAAAGTGTCTGGACTGGAAGGGGGGGAGAAGTGTCCGGACTGGAAGGGGGTGAAAGTTTCCAGGACTGGAAGGGGGTGAAAGTGTCCGGACTGGAAGGGGGTGAAAGTGTCCGGACTGGAAGGGGGGAAAGTGTCCGGACTGGAAGGGGGTGGCCTGAAAGTGTCCGGACTGGAAGGGGGTGAAAAGTGTCCGGACTGGAAGGGGGGAAGTGTCCGGACTGGAAGGGGGTGAAAGTGTCTGGACAGGAAGTAGTTAAGAAATATACTCACAAACAGAGAAGTATAACAAGATCCTGAACGGAACTCCAGGAGTGTAAAACCAGTGCGAGTCTCATCACGAGGGCAGACACTCAAAGTAACGGCTGACGCGTTTCGAAGGGGGGGGAGTTCCTTCTTCATCAGAGCTCAATGATGAAGGGACCCCCTTCGAAACGCGTCAGCCTTACTTTGAGTGTCTGCCCTCGTGATGAGACTCGCACTGGTTTTACACTCCTGGAGTTCCGTTCAGGATCTTGTTATACTTCTCTGTTTGTGAGTATATTTCTTAATTCAATAAAATCAGTCTACTGAGGTCATGTGCAAGGTTGGTGCGCTTTTTGTTTCACTTTAAAGATACAAAATCATCCAGGCCACGCCCCTCTAGCGCATTTCGCCCTCCGTGGCTAAGCCCTGTGGGTGGGGTGAAATGCGTCAAAGGTGTGGCCTGAATGATTTTGTATCTGGCCTGTTCTGGTATGCGGCGGTATGAACTTTTTCTTTCCGGGAATGTCTGCACAGAGCTTGGACGAGCTCTTTTCTTTCCCCGCCTCCACCCAACATTCAGAGTCAGCAGACTTGTGGAGGAGTACCTGGAGTGGTGCTCGAAGTCTATGTATGGTCACAAGGAGTATTGGGATCATGCTGTTGACATTGGAGGAGAAATTTAAGGTGGGGGGGGGGCCTAGAGAGTGGACACACAATTCCATTCCCAGACTCAAGGGTCAGCGCCTGGAACAGCGGGGGTTGCAGAGGGCACAGATGAGAATTTCTTCCATTGTATTTATGTTTATCCTGGAGACAAATCCAGCAGTCAGGCAGTGAGGCTGGAGAGAGCTGCAACTACCGAGAAGAATCACAAGACTCTTTATAGTTCAGTCCCCATCTTCCTCTATAATACACATATAGGGCTACTGGTAACACGCTAGTCACACCTTGTGGGAGGGGCAGAGACACAAACTACTCAGGGAATGCCACCATTGTGGGAGGGGCAGAGACACAAACTACTCAGGGAATGCCACCATTGTGGGAGGGGCAGAGACACAAACTACTCAGGGAATGCCACCATTGTGGGAGGGGCAGAGACACAAACTACTCAGGGAATGCCACCATTGTGGGAGGGGCAAAGAAACAAACTACTGCAGGGAAACCTCCCCATTGGGGGAGGGGCAGAGAAACTGCAGGGAAACCTCCCCATTGTGGAAGGGGCAGAGACTCAAACTGCTGCAGGAAATCCCCCCATTGTGGGAGGGGCAGAGACTCAAACTGCTGCAGGAAATCTCCCCATTGTGGGAGGGGCAGAGACTCAAACTACTGCAGGGAAAACCCCCATTGTGGGAGGGGCAGAGACTCAAACTACTGCAGGGAAACCTCCCCATTGTGGGAGGGGCAGAGACTCAAACTACTGCAGGAAACCTCGCCATTGTGGGAGGGGCAGAGAGACAAACTACTCAGGGAATCCCCCCATTGTGGGCGGGGCAGAAACACAAACTACTCAGGGAATCCCCCCATTGTGGGAGGGGCAGAGACACAAACTACTCAGGGAATCCCCCCATTGTGGGAGGGGCAGAGACACAAACTACTCAGTGAATCCCACCATTGTGGGAGGGGCAAAAACAACTACAGGGAAACTTCCCCATCGTGGGAGGGGCAGAGGCACAAACTACTCAGGGAATCCCACCATTGTGGGAGGGGCAGAGAAACAACTAGAGGGAAACCTCCCCATTGTGGGAGGGGCAAAGGCACAAACTACTGCAGGGGAATCCCACCATTGTGGGAGGGGCAGAGACACAAACTACTGCAGGGGAATCCCACCATTGTGGGAGGGACAAAGACACAAAATACTGCAGAAAAACTCACCATTGTGGGAGGGGCAGAGACACTAACTACTGCAGGGAAACTCACCATTGTGGGAGGGGGCAGAGACACTAACTACTGCAGGGAAACTCACCATTGTGGGAGGGGCTAAGATACAAACTATATCAGGAAATCTTATTGTTGTGGGAGGGATGGAGACACAAACTTGCAGGGGAAATGTCACCATTGTGGGAGAGAGGGAGACATTTGGGGTCATGTTGGAGGCAGCGAAGGGTTGATAATTGTAGCATATGATGGAGGCAATCAGGAACGCCGTTCATGGTGGTGTGTAAGCGCGATATTCCACCTGTATCCCCTCGGATTATGATATTATTCAAAGACTCCGCTGGGTGGTGGAGCTGTGAATTCCCTGGAGAGCTCCTTACAGAATCTTATATCACAGACAGGTGGGAATGTAGATGGAGATATGAATGACTGCCTTTCAGGGAGATAAAGAGCACCTGTCCCTTGAGGATCTCTCAGACTGATTACATTTCCCCGGAGGTCCCCCCCCTCACGGGGTAGAGGATTCAATCCTGGTGGCTGAAACTACATCAGAGGATTTTCATCGCTCAATTGAATAAAATGAACCCTTTCTAGACTGAGACCTTCCCATCCATTTATCATCTACCCACTTGCCCTCTGGAAGGTTTAACCCCCTTCTTGACCTGCCCTTGTTTTTGCTATGCGCCACTGCGTTACTTTAACTGACAATTGCGCGGGTATGCAACACTGTACATAAATAAAAATGTATGTCTTTTTGGTAGTTTTTGATCACCACTGGGATTTATTTTTTGCGCTATAAAAAAAAAAAACTTACAATTTTGAAGCAAAAAAAAAAAAAAAAACTTTTTTTTGCATTCTGCTATAAAACATATCCAATAAAAAAAAAATGTAAAAATCACATTTCTTCATAAACTTAGGCCATGTATTCTGCTACATATTTCTTGTAAAAAAAAAAAATCCTAATAAGTGTATATAGATTGGTTTGAGCAAAAAGTATAGCGGCTACAAACAATGGTATATCCCATATGGAAGAAAAATATATTTGGAATATATTTTTAAAATATTCTTCTCAGATATATTGCCATATATTTGAAATGCTACAATTTTGGCCGTATTCAATATATATGCTGCTATAGGGCGGTCTTCAACTGGATACAGTCATGTGAAAGAATTGTGTACACCCCATGCAAAATAGAAGACATTTTTGAAAAAACATTTGATCTTCATTCAAACAGTGCCAACAGATAAAAGGAAAATTTCCTTGTCAATCATGTATTCATCAAATTCAACAATAGATATATTAATGTACTGAGCAAAAGGTAAGTACACTCTGATGACAAAAGCTGGTATTTCCCCCTCTGGCAGAAATGGCTTTGTATAACTGCCCCCCCCCCCAAAAAAAAAAACCCTCTACATTGGAAATCAAATCATGGCCTTGACTAGGCTAGTCTAAAGCCCTCCATTTATTTATTTTAAATCAGTCCTTGATGGATTTGATAGTATGTTTTGGATCATTATCATGCTTAAGGATCCATATCCAGTTCATGCTGAAGGAGCCATATCCAGTTCATGCTGAAGGAGCCATGTCCAGTACATCTGAAGGAGCCATGTCCATACATGCTGAAGGATCCATATCCAGTTCATGCTGAAGGACCCATATCCAGTTAATGCTGAAGGAGCCATATGTCCAGTTCATGCTGAAGGACCCATATCCAGTTCATGCTGAAGGACCCATATCCAGTTCATGCTGAAGGACCCATATCCAGTTCATGCTGAAGGAGCCATGTCCAGTTCATGCTGAAGGATCCATATCCAGTTCATGCTGAAGGATCCATATCCAGTTCATGCTGAAGGACCCATATCCAGTTCATGCTGAAGGACCCATATCCAGTTCATGCTGAAGGACCCATATCCAGTTCATGCTGAAGGAGCCATGTCCAGTTCATGCTGAAGGACCCATATCCAGTTCATGCTGAAGGATCCGTATCCAGTTCATGCTGAAGGAGCCATATCCAGTTCATGCTGAAGGAGCCGTATCCAGTTCATGCTGAAGGACCATATCCAGTTCATGCTGAAGGACGCATATCCAGTTCATGCTGAAGGACGCATATCCAGTTCATGCTGAAGCACGCATATCTAGTTCATGCTGAAGCACGCATATCCAGTTCATGCTGAAGCACCGCATATCCAGTTCATGCTGAAGGACGCATATCCAGTTCATGCTGAAGGACGCATATCCAGTTCATGCTGAAGGAGCCATATCCAGTTCATGCTGAAGGAGCCATATCCAGTTCATGCTGAAGGAGCCCGTATCCAGTTCATGCTGAAGGAGCCATATCCAGTTCATGCTGAAGGAGCCATATCCAGTTCATGCTAAAGGACGCATATCCAGTTCATGCTGAAGGATCCATATCCAGTTCATGCTGAAGGATCCATATCCAGTTCATGCTGAAGGAGCCATATCCAGTTCATGCTGAAGGATCCATATCAGTTCATGCTGAAGGATCCATATCCAGTTCATTCTGAAGGATCCATATCCAGTTCATGCTGAAGGATCCATATCCAGTTCATTCTGAAGGATCATATCCAGTTCATGCTGAAGGATCCATATCCAGTTCATTCTGAAGGATCCATATCCAGTTCATTCTGAAGGAGCCATATCCAGTTCATGCTGAAGGATCCATATCCAGTTCATTCTGAAGGATCCATGTCCAGTTCATGCTGAAGGAGCCATATCCAGTTCAATTTCAACTTTTGGAAAAATGGCCCCACATTCTCATCAAGCACACTTTGATATGATGCAGAATGTGTATAGCTGACTCAATAACTGTGAGCTGCCCAGGCCCTGAAGCTTAAAATAAAAAGCCCATAACATTTCCACCACCTTGCTTCACAGTTGGTATGAGGTTCTTTTCCTGAAATACTGTCCTTGGTTTGTGGAATACACGTCTACTGTTACTGTGACTCTTTGATTGATCATTATCAGCACCTTAACCTCTTGGCGCCAGTCGAACGCAAATGTGCAGCCTCCTGGCACCTGGGTCTAGATGCCGAGCCACCGCACATTTGCATTCTATTGATAAAACAGATAAGTAGAGCAGTACAGTGGCTAAATGGTTAGCACTTCCGCCTGGCAGTACTAGGATCGTTGGTTCGAATCCCAGCCACGGCACCTCCTGCCTGGAGTTTGCATTTTCTCCCTGTGCCTGCGTGGGTTTCCTCCGTGTGCTCCAGTTTCCTCCCACACTCCAAAGACTAGGTTAATTGGCTCCTGTCTAAACTGGCCCTAGTATGTATGTGTATGTATGAATGTGAGTTAGGGACCTTAGATTGTACGCCCCTTGGGGGTTAGGGACTGATGTCAATGTACAATATATATGTAAAGCGCGGCGTACATTGATGGTGCTATACAAGTACCTGAAATAAATAAATAAATATGTGCTTAGAGCACACGCCCTGCGCGCTCCCAGCACTCACGTTTGGTGCTCATGGAAAGGTCCCGATCTCCTCTTTCAATCAGGACCTTTCCCGATCATGTGACCGCCATGACAGCAAATCACGTGACCCTAAAACCCCACCCCGCCTCCCGGCTTCTGGAACCCTTAAAGGGCCAGGAGGTGTCGGTGCCAAGGGGTTAATCCAGAAGGCCTGGTCTTCGCCTATATTTTCATTGGAAAATTCTATTCTTGCTGCAATGTTCTCTTTGGATAGCAAAGGCTTTTTTTTTTTCAACGAGCATCTAATGAAGATTGAATTGGTGCAATCTCTTTCTGATGCGTGCCCTTTGACCCCCTCTGTTTCATGAGTCACCTGAACATCCCATTGAACAGTCAGTTCTTGGGCTGAATTTGTTGAGCTGGCCTGTCCTCATAAACCTGTAGTGTACAAGGACAATTATATGGTAGGAGCGACAGTAGATCGTACACACCCCAACTAGACGTGCACTTCATTTCGTTCCAAATCAAATTTTGGACAACATTTTTATTAAGCTGGCCATACATTATACAATTGTCTTACAATTTTCTGTATCATTTCCTTTAGATTTACCTTAAATTATGTAGTGCAAGGGACTGCCTGTATAGATGCAAATTGAAAGTCTTGTTTAGGTTCGACCTCATATTATGTGGTTTTTGGTAAATCTAAAGAAAAAACTGTAGAAGAAATTTGTATAATGTATGGCTATCCTTATTTGGAGATTCGAGCATATCCGAGTTTCTGAATTACAATAGTAACGAATTTAAATGAATCCGAAATAACAAAACAAAATCTTGTCTGAAATTCAAATTGAATTGGACAGCAAAATCTAATTACAAAATTAATTTCAATTATTATTATTATTATTATACAGAATTTATGGTGCCAACAGTTTGCTCAGCGCTTTACAATATAATAGGAGCAACAATACAGTTCAATATAAGAGGGATAGGAGGGCCCTGATCCTGGGAGCTTACAATCTAAGAGGGAGGGGCTAGTGGTACAAAAGGTAATAACTGTAGGGGATGGACTGGTAGGAGGAAGAGAAGATTTCATTATTAGCTGAGGGCAGGATAGGCTTCCCTGAAGAGAGAGGTTTTCAGAGATCGCCTAAAAGTGAGCAGAGTAGGCGACAGTCTGATAAATTGGGGTAGAGAGTTCCAGGGGGTGGGGGAAGCTCTGCAGAAGTCCTGGAGACAAGCATGGGAGGAGGAGACAAGGGAGCTAGAGAGCAGGAGGTTGTGTGAGAAATATAAACATACTGCTGACTACTGCTGATTTCCTTCAAAGACTATGAGGGTGATTTACTAAAACTGAAGAGCGCAAAATTTGGTGCAGCTATAGATGGCAGCCAATCAGCTTCTAACTTCAGCTTGTCCAATTAAGCATTTTGACAAACAATCCTGGAAGTTGATTGGTTTCTGTGCACAGCTGCACCAGATTTTGCACTCTCCAGTTTTAGTAAATCAACCCCTATGTGTATTAGACTATAGCCCTCTTCCGAAATTTGAATTTTGGAAAGAATAGAACTGAAAAAAATAGAATAGATTTGATTAGAATAGAAAAAAAAAATAAAGGAATAGAACAGAAAAGAATAGATTAGAAAGGAAAATAAAAAAAATAGAATACAATAGAATAGAAAATAATAGAAAATAAAGGAATAGGAAAGAATAGAAAAAAAAATAGAATAGAAAGAATATAGCCATCTTCCAAAATTTGAATTTTGGAATGAATAGAATAGGAAAAAATAGAATAGATTTGATTAGAATAGAATAAAAAATAAAAGAATAAAACAGAAAATAATAGATTAGAAAGGAAAATAAAAGAATATAATAAAATAGAAAATAAAGGAATAGAAAAGAATAGAAGAGAAAAAAAATACAATAGAAAGAATATTGCCATCTTCCAAAATTCGCATTTCAAAAAGAACAGAAGAGAATAAAACAGAATAGAACAGAAAATAAAAGAATAGACTACAATAGAATAGAAAATTAGAAAGAATAGAAAAAAAATAGAATAGAAAGTATATAGCCATCTTCCACAATTCAAATTTCAAAAAGAATGTAATAGAATAAAACAGTATAGAACAGAAAATAAAAGAATAGAATACAACAGAATAGAAAATAACAGAATAGAAAAATAGAATAGAATAGAACAAATATAACTGTCTTCCAAAGTTCGAATTGCGATATAGAGGAGAACCGGCTATTCTTTATAATGAATTTGAATCGATTTGATTTGAATCCACTGGAAAAATTAAAATTCGGTCGAAAACTAAACGAAACAAATTTCGTTACGAATTCAAGGAAATTAGTAACTTAACAAGTCAATAAGAAACTACATTTTTTTGTTCTGCACCCCAACCCCCCAAACCTGTCTGCTGATCACCTGACAATTCAAAGCTGGATATAATTCATCTTTTATAAAGGACACAGTCTGCCAATTACCTCCTGCTGGGGTCACCGTGTCTCATGTACCCCAACATGCTCACCCCCCAAATACAGCCCACTCACGCGCAGAGGAAATCTCAACAGATTTTAAATGTAGAAACCAATAAACAGATTAAGTTCACTTAGCACCACCCATCATCTTTATCAGGGGCGGACTGACCATTTGGAAACTCGGGCACTGCCCGAGGGCCCGGGGTCAGTAGGGGGCCCCATGAGATGCCCCTGGTACCTTTTTTCATAGGCTTTTTTGAGTTTGGCCAAGGATACAGGGGCCCCAGGATCCCCTATTGCCCGGGGCCCCATGAGTTGTCAGTCCACCCCTGATCTTCATCCATCTGACAGTTCCTGCGATCTCCAGTGTAGGTGCGGCAGGGCCCTCGGGCAGCGGAAGGGTTAATCTCATGTAGTAATTATTAGTATCTCTGATCTGTACAATACGAGGGGCTGTGACGGGTAATTCGTTTTATTGGACAGACATAGCTCTGCGAAGGAGAGCGAGATCAATAACGGGGAATAATTATGTGTTCATAAACGGAGAACAGGAGCCGGGGTCGGGGCAGCGTCCTTTATAACACGTCATTTTATTTGCAGAGTGCATGCCCGATGCGTGGGGCAGGGGCCATCTTGGGGCCCAGGGCCCTCACATCAGTTATTACTCGTCTCTTTATATGGTTCTAATAGATGGCTGCTGTATCAGTTTGTGACGGGAGTCACTTTGGGTGGGGGGCTCATGGAACACAGCCTCCTTTGGAGGGGTGGGGAGACCCCCGTCTCAGCTCCCCATATCCCTATTATGTGTAAGTCACCCTGTGCCTGTTAGGGGTACAAGGAGGAATGTCCTGATATTGTGTAGACATGTATAGGTGGGGTGTAGGGGGGTTGTTCATTGTTTACTGCCATGTGGTTCCATTGTTCTGTTGTGTGTCTTGCTTGCCAGCAAACTATTATGGGATGTATATGTGTTTATGTGTATTGGCTTGGTGGGGGGTGTCTGCTGTGTGTCTCTTGTTACTAAATGTTTTGCCCCGCCCTGTGTATATATCTTGTGTCTGTGTTAAAAAGCAGTCTATTTCCTGTTTTAAGACGAGTCTGGTGCTTTTTTGTCTTGTATGGTCAGCATTGGTGTCCGTGGATCTGTGTTCGGACAGGGAAGCGGGAGTCTAACGGAAATACCCTACTGCAGTCGGGGTCCGGTTCCGTTACACAGCCCATCATAGTGGCGTGAATCTGCATCATCTGCCTAGGGCAGACATTTTCAACCAGTGTTCCGAGGAACCTTAGGGTTCCTCAGAGGGGTCCCTTGATCTGTGGCTGACTGAACTCTCATCTGATGATGGTGCCGTCATAGTCCCAGGTCCAACGACAATTGGCAGAGCCGACGATATGACGTCAATGATCTTTTTTTATCTGACTGCAAGGGTGGCATTCTGGCAATCGCTGTATGGTCCCATTTGCACCTTTGCGTTTCGAGGACACAAGCAGGAATGCGCATTTCTGTGCATGTTCCTAAAAATGGACCAAAACACGCATGTCGCTTGCGTTGCCATTATTTCTTAACAACACAGGTAGCAGACGAATGTTTTGTTGCAAAATGCGAAGTACAAAAATGCTGCCTGAAAAAGGTGCAGGAGCTAATTTGGTGTAATTTCTCATACATGGGGCAGCCCATTCAAGTGCATGGGCTGCCCTATGTTGTTACATGACAAAAACGGCAAAAAAAAATGTGCATAAGCATGTTGTGTAGGTGTGAATGGGGCTTATGGATGGTATTCTTCTCATTGACACCCAATGTAAGGAGCATTCTTCCCACTGACCACCAATGAAAGGAGCATTCTTCTCACTGACCACCAATGTAAGGGACATTCTTCCCACTGACCACCAATGTAAGGGGCATTCTTCTTACTGACCCCCAATGTAAGAGACATTCTTCCCACTGACCCCAATGTAAGAGGCATTCTTCCCACTGAACATCAATGTAAGAGGACATTCTTCCCACTGACCCCCAATGTAAGAGACATTCTTCTTACTGACACCAATGTAAGAGGCATTCTTCCCACTGACAACCAATGTAAGAGACATTCTTCCCACTGACCCCCAATGTAAGAGGCATTCTTCCCACTGACCCCCATGTAAGGGACATTCTTCCCACTGACCACCAATGTAAGGGACATTCTTCCCACTGACCACCAATGTAAGGGACATTCTTCCCACTGACCCCCAATGTAAGGGACATTCTTCCCACTGACCATCAATGTAAGGGATATTCTTCCCACTGATCACCAATGTAAGGGGCATTCTTCCCACTGACCCCCAATGTAAGGGACATTCTTCCCACTGATCACCAATGTAAGGGGCATTCTTCCCACTGACCACCAATGTAAGGGACATTCTTCCCACTGATCACCAATGTAAGGGACATTCTTCCCACTGACCATCAATGTAAGGGACATTCTTCCCACTGATCACCAATGTAAGGGACATTCTTCCCACTGACCATCAATGTAAGGGACATTCTTCCCACTGCCCCTCAATGTAAGGGACATTCTTCCCACTGACCCCCATGTAAGAGGCATTCTTCCCACTGACCCACCAATGTTAAGGGACATTCTTCCCACTGACCCCCAGTGTAAGAGGCATTCTTCCCACTGACCACCAATGTAAGGGACATTCTTCCCACTGACCACCAATGTAAGGGACATTCTTCCCACTGACCACCAATGTAAGGGACATTCTTCCCACTGACCACCCAATGTAAGGGGCATTCTTCCCACTGACCATCAATGTAAGGGATTTCTTCCCACTGATCACCAATGTAAGGGGCATTCTTCCCACTGACACCAATGTAAGGGGCATTCTTCCCACTGACCACCAATGTAAGAGGCATTCTTCCCACTGACCACCAATGTAAGGGACATTCTTCCCACTGATCCCCAATGTAAGGGGCATTCTTCCCACTGACCACCAATGTAAGGGCATTCTTCCCACTGACCACCAATGTAAGGGACATTCTTCCCACTGATCACCAATGTAAGGGACATTCTTCCCACTGACCACCAATGTAAGAGGCATTCTTCCCACTGACCACCAATGTAAGGGACATTCTTCCCACTGACCACCAATGTAAGGGACATTCTTCCCACTGACCACCCAATGTAAGGGACATTCTTCCCACTGACCCCCAATGTAAGGGACATTCTTCCCACTGACCCCCAATGTAAGGGACATTCTTCCCACTGACCACCAATGTAAGGGGCATTCTTCCCACTGACCACCAATGTAAGGGACATTCTTCCCACTGACCCCCAATGTAAGGGACATTCTTCCCACTGACCTCCAATGTAAGGGACATTCTTCCCACTGACCCCCAATGTAAGGGACATTCTTCCCACTGACCCCCAATGTAAGGGACATTCTTCCCACTGACCCCCAATGTAAGGGACATTCTTCCCACTGACCCCCAATGTAAGGGACATTTTTCCCACTGACCACCAATGTAAGGGGCATTCTTCCCACTGATCACCACTGTAAGGGGCATTCTTCCCACTGACCCCCAATGTAAGGGACATTTTTCCCACTGACCACCAATGTAAGGGGCATTTTCCCCACTGATCACCACTGTAAGGGGCATTCTTCCAATGCCCCCTGATGGACCAATCATTTCAAGGGTTCCTCTGGGGTAAAAAGGTTGAGAGCCTAACCTAGGGTGTCATAGTTTAGGGGGCCTCCTTGACATGAAAATATCTGAAAGTTTTCCCCAGCCTCCATCATAGACGCAGTGCTAGTATTGCTGCGCAGGCACGGCTGTCCCAGTGATCGCCCGAGAAATCCATCCTAGCCAATTGGACGATTTCTGTACCCCGAGTGCTGCCACTTCGCTGATCTGAATTGCGATTGGTCACTCTGGGTCACTGGACACCGGACTTTCACGCACCATTTAGTACATAAAATCAGAAGATTCCTGATCTTGTTGTCCGGCCATGTTATCGCAGCTTTTCCCTGAAGATAAAAGGAAAGTGGATTAGGATTCGTTATTATCGTTCCCATTGACCGGTGTGTATAAATACGGGGGATTTGGAGATCGTTCGGCGATCAGCGTCGGGGATGGACTTGTTCGTTGGATCTGGAGTTAGGCTCGCCCGTCAACCTACAGAAAATCTAATTAAACAATTTACGTGGTTAATCCATATTGAACACCGGGGCTTCGGAGGGCTCTTCACATTGAGCGTCCATTGAAGCGCTGACCCCCTCCGGCACCATTCGGATTAAAGCAGCCCGCAGGTGGCGGGGGAGGGGGGGGGGGGCGCTCGGCCCAGGAATGTCGCTCTATTGTTATATTCGAATACTGGGACAGAGAAAGGATAGATCAACCCCGCGGTACGATAAATCCTCCTTATCCTGCCCACTCCAAATGACTAACAATTATCCTCTCCACTGCCAGTCTTCCGTCATCACTTCACATAGAGAATTCCAGAAAAATGCTAAAAACAAAATCCATTCATCTAGAGGAATAATAATTGCATTGTTGCATGCTGCTAGTATAAATATCTAAACTCTGCCTTTATATTAGCTGACAGCAGCAGAACTCAAACTAATGCAGGCCATTGACGGGTCGAAAATCAGCCGATTTTTGCACCGTTAGTGGGTTAATTGGTCGGCTGTCTTTCAGGGTTTTGGCACATTTTTTTTATCGGTCAAGTTGGAAAATTCGTGGCCGATTTTGACGATCGGCCGATTTTCCCGGCAATGATGGGGAAATCGGCCGATCATTTTATCGACAAAAAATCTGCGCATGAGCCGTGACCTGCAAGAAGAAGCAGAAGAAAAATAATAAGAAGAAAAATAAGAAGAAGAAGAAGAAAAGAAGAAGAAAAAGAAAAGAAGGAGAAGAAGAAAAGAAGTAGAAGAAAAGAAGTAGAAGAAAAAGAAGATGAAAAAGAAGAAGAGGAAAAAGAAGAAGAAGAAAAAGAAGAAGAAGAAAAAGCAGAAGAAAAGAAGAGGAAAAAAAGAAGAAGAAAAAGAAGAAGAAGAAGAAAAAGCAGAAGAAAAGAAGAAGAGGAAAAAAAAAAAAAAGAAGAAAAAGAAGCAGAAGAAGAAAAAAAGGGGAAGAAGAAAAGAAGGGGAAGAAGAATTCCAGTCCGCTATTATATTTTATATGAAAAGTCTTGCGGTTGCAACAATGTATCCATTTGTATCTGAATAAAAACATCTGTATCCAAAATGAATACAAATGGATACATTGTTGCAACCGCAAGACTTTCATGTAAAATATAATAGCGGAGCTCTCTGCAGGGACAGAAGTAATTATGGGGTTAGACGGGACAAAAATCGGCCGATTTGTTTTACCATTGGTGGTAACGTTGGCCGATTGAACAACCGATTTTTTTTTTTTTTTTTTTTTTTTTTTTTTACGGCCGATTTCCGACCCGTCTATGGCCTGCATAAGATAGGGAGGTTTGGTGCCATCGGTCTGGCTCTATTCCAGGGATCCCCAAACTTTCTAAACAAAGGGACAGCTTACTGTCCCTCAGACTCTAGGGGGGCAGGATTGTGGCCAGTGGGAGTAAACAATGTCTTGTCTTTAGTGTCAGTGAGAGGAATAATACCGTCGCTGATTTCAGTGGCAAGAATTGTGTACCTTTATTGGTATCAGTGGGAGAAATCGTGTCCCTTTGTTGGTGTCATTGGGAGAAATAGTGTGACATCATTGGTGTCATTGAGAGAATTGTGTCCCTTCATTGGTGTCAGTGGGAGGAATTATGTCCCTTTGTTGGTGTCATTGGGTGGAATAGTGTCCCAGCGTTGGTGTCAGTGGAAGAAATTGTGCCCCTCCATTGGTTAGTGGAAGGAATTGTGTCCCTATATTAGTGCCAGTGGGAGGAATAGTGCCCCATTATTGGTGTCAGTGGGAGGAATAGTGCCCCATCATTGGTGTCAGTGGGAGGAATAGTGCCCCATCATTGGTATCAGTGGGAGGAACAGTGCCCCATCGTTGGTGTCAGTGGGAGGGGAAATAGTGCCCCATCATTGGTATCAGTGGGAGGAATAGTGCCCCATCATTGGTGTCAGTGGGAGGAATAGTGCCCCATCATTGGTATCAGTGGGAGGAATAGTGCCCCATCATTGGTATCAGTGGGAGGAATAGTGCCCCATCGTTGGTATCAGTGGGAGGAATAGTGCCCCATCGTTGGTATCAGTGGGAGGAATTGTGCCCCATCATTGGTGTCAGTGGGAGGAATTGTGCCCCATCATTGGTATCAGTTGGAGGAATTGTGCCATTTCATTGGTGTCAGAGGGAGGAATAGTGTCCCAATGTTGGCGTCAGTGGGATAAATTGAGAAATTGTGTCCCTTAATTGGTGTCAGTGAAAGGAATAGTGCCCCATTGTTGGTTATAGTCAGAGGAATTATGCCCCATTGTTGGTGTCACTGGATGAAATAGTGCACTGTGTAGCGCTGCCAGTTTCAGTTGCTGAGGACTTGCTGACTGCAGAAGAGAGCAGAGAGAGAAATTGTTAGTGTGATGTATATCCTTTATTGTCCAATCAGCGGGCAAGGGGTTAGGAGGGCAGCAAGCTGTGTCAGTTATCAATAATAATAAATAGTGGGGACGCCGTCTAGCGGTGAAGTGAGGTAAGGGGTGTCAGGATCACAAGACCGGCTGAACAGAGTAATAAACTTTTCAGCTTTTTGTTGGTGTATTTACTGATTGTCAGGATTTCCGCTTTAAAACTGCCCGACCACAGATGACAGCCTGCCCAATGTGGGTGACACCACCCATGAATGTGGTCACACGACAATAAACACTCGGGAACATGCGGTCTCTCCTATTGGCTCTTCATTGTTTTATTTCTAATGATCAGGAAGTGAAACAGACAGAAATGTCCTCTTCTTCGTTCATGGGATCACAGACAGTCACACCTTGCGGGATCTCAGTGACCCTCCGTACAGCGCAGACTATAATTACAGAACAATGTGTGGAATAATGTCCCATATGTCTGTATTGTGTGACAGGCCAGGAATTCAGTTTATGGCGGTGTGAATAGAGACGGGTCAGGTTTCAGGGTCAGGACAGGCTGAGTGATAGTGGCGGGTCATATGAAACCATCTATATACTCAGAGCACAAATCTTCCCATCTGCATCACTGCTCCATTGTGTCCCTATAGGAGAAAGGAGAGGGGGAATAGGTGAGGACAGGAAAGGGGGTACAGGTGGGGGAGGGGGATGGGACAGGGGGGTATAATAAGTGTGTGTGGGTTCGGGGTTCAGGATAGAAGATAGGTATGGGTGAGGGTGGGGTGGAGACAGGAGAGGGAGGTATAGGTAAGGAGAGGAGAAGGGGAAGGGATACAGGTAGGATGAAAGGGAAGTCAGGAGAGGGGTACGTGTGGTGAGGGAGGCACAGGGAGAACATGCAAACTCCAGGCAGGTGGTGCCGTGGCTGGGATTCGAACCATCGACCCGAGTACTGCCAGGCGGAAGTGCTAACCATTTAGCCACTGTGCTGCCCATCCTCCTTAAAGCAGAGCTCCACCCAAAAGGGGAAGTTCCGCTTTAAGGACTGCTCCCCCGCTCCCCATTGAGGATTAGCACCTTTCGGGGGCGGGGGGGGAGCGGGTACCTGTCAAATTCGGGTACCCGCTCCCCTTCCCCCCCGCTTCCGGTCCGATCGCCTAGTTGACCGGAAGCGGAAGGTGTCCTCCCCCCTCCCTCCCTGTACTCTTTTGGGACACGTGACAGGTCCCAGAAGACTACAGGACCATTCATGAAACGCAGCGCTACTCGCACATGCGCAGTAGCCACCTGGCTGTGAAGCCGCAAGATGTCACAGCCGGGTGCCCACACTGAAGATGTCGGCCTCCTGGAATACAGGACAGCCGGTGAAACGAGCTGCGGCGGGGACAACGTGGGATTGTGGGACAGGTAAGTGGCTGTTTTTTTAAAAGTCAGCAGCTACAGTTTTGTAGCTGCTGTCAGTTTTGTAGCTGCTGTCAGTTTTTGTAGCTGCTGTCAGTTTTTTAGCTGCTGTCAGTTTTGTAGCTGCTGTCAGTTTTTGTAGCTGCTGTCAGTTTTTTAGCTGCTGTCAGTTTTTTAGCTGCTGTCAGTTTTGTAGCTGCTGTCAGTTTTTTAGCTGCTGTCAGTTTTGTAGCTGCTGTCAGTGTCGGGAGGAACGGACACAGAGGTAAAAGTTGGGGTCAGGTGTACAGTATATGCTGGGTATAGGTGAGAAAGGTAAGGACAGAAGAAGGGGTACAGGTGGGGGTGGAGGAGGTCAGGAGAGGGGGGGTAAAAGTAGAGGTGGGATCAGGATAGAAGATGGGTATTGGTGAGAGAGGTGAGGACAGGACAGGGGGTATAGGTAAGGGGGAGGGGGGAGGAATAAGTGTGGTGAGGGAGGTGGGGGAGGACAGGACACGGAAGTAAAAGTGGGGGCAGGTGTATATGATGGGTATGGGTGAGAAAGGTGAGGACAGGAAAGGGGGTATAGGTAAGTAGGGTAGAGGGGTATAGGTAAGAGGGTGAGGACAGGAGAGGGGATATAGATGAGTAGAGGAGTATAGGTGAGGGGGGTGAGGGAAAGGAGAGGGGGTATGGGTGAGGGGGTGAGAACAGAAGATGGGATATAGGTGAGTAGAAGAGTATAGGTGAGGGGGGGTGAGGAAAGGAGTGGGGGTATGGGTGAGGGGGTGAGGACAGGAGAAGGGGTATAGGTGATTAGGGGAGTATAGGTGAGGGGGGTGAGGAAAGGAGTGGGGGTATGGGGGTGAAGAAAGGAGAGGGGGTATAGGTGAGTAGAGGAGTATAGGTGAGGGGGGTGAGGAAAGGAGAGGGGGTATGGGTGAGAGGGTGAAGACAGGAGAGGGGGTATAGGTGAGTAGAGGAGTATAGGTGAGGGGGTGAGGAAAGGAGTGGGGGTATGGGTGAGGGGGTGAGGACAGGAGAGGGGGTGTAGGTAAGTAAAGGGGTATAGGTGAGGGGGTGAGGACAGGAGAAGGGGTATGGGTGAGTAGAGGGGTATAGCTGAGGGGGTGAGGAAAGGAGTGGGGGTATAGGTGAGTAGAGGAGTATAGGTGAGAGGCGTGAGGAAAGGAGAGGGGGTATGGGTGAGGACAGGAGAGGGGGTATAGGTGAGTAGAGGAGTATAGGTGAGGGGGGTGAGGAAAGGAGTGGGGGGGTATGGGTGAGGGGGTGAGGACAGGAGAGGGGGTATAGGTGAGTAGAGGAGTATAGGTGAGAGGGGTGAGGAAAGGAGTGGGGGTATGGGTGAGGGGGTGAGGACAGGAGAGGGGGAATAGGTGAGTAGAGGAGTATAGGTGAGGAAAGGAGAGGGGGTATGGGTGAGGACAGGAGAGGGGGTATAGGTGAGTAGAGGAGTATAGGTGAGGGGGGTGAGGAAAGGAGTGGGGGTATGGGTGAGGACAGGAGAGGGGGAATAGGTGAGTAGAGGAGTATAGGTGAGGAAAGGAGAGGGGGTATGGGTGAGGGGGTGAGGAAAGGAGAGGGGGTATAGGTGAGTAAAGGGGTATGGGTGAGGGGGTGAGGACAGAAGAGGGGGTATAGGTGAGTAAAGGGGTATGGGTGAGGGGGGGGTGAGGAAAGGAGTGGGGGTATGGGTGAGGGGGTGTGAGGACAGGAGAGGGGGTATAGGTGAGGGGGGGGTGAGGACAAGAGAGGGTAATACTAAGGAGAGGAGGAGGGAGAGCACCAGTGAGATGAGTATAGGTGAGGGTTTGGATTTGGATAATGGGGGTGTCATACTGGTCTTGGGGGGGCTGTGTATTGGGTCCTCCCTCCCTCCATGACATGGAATGGTCTCCTATCATGGATGGATATCCTGGTTCTGGCAGGAATGTGTGGCCTGCAGGCCGGATCTGATAGGGGAGGAGGGGACGTCACTGTCCCACATAGATTCATGTCCCTGCAGGCAGAGAATGCGGAGATTATCAGGCCGGGCAGAGGACACAACATGTCTGAGCCCATGGGGATGGGGGGTGACATCATAATAGGAGTCATTACAGCGGCATGTGATAGTATCAGCAGCTCTCACATAACACATACCGACACACCAAACCACAGACACCGACTGACAGCAGGCGGCGTCCCTCAACTCCAATCATTGTAACACCTTTATAGAGTATATAACACCCCCATGTAGTTACATTATTAGTCTGGCTGAAAAAAGACAAAAGTCCATCCAGTTCAACCGTTGAAAAAAAAAAAAGAAGTTATAATCCTACACCCACAGCTGATCCAGAGGAAGGCAAAAAACCCCAACAAAGCACGATCCAATTTGCTCCTGCAGGGAAATAAATTCCTTCCTGATCCCCCGAGAGGCAATCAGATATTCCCTGGATCAACTTTCCTATAAATGTTATATCCAGGTTATATTCTGTGTATCCAAGAAAGAATCCAGGACTTTCCTACAGCAATCCACTGAGCTGGCCACAACCAACTCTGGAGGGAATCTATTCCACATTCTCAGAGCTCTTACTGTGAAGAAGAACCTTTCCGTGTTTCTTCAAATGTTTAACCTGAGAAAATGGACCGTTTTAAGAAAAAAAAAAAAAATCAGGTCATTGTAAAATTTGTGGCAGCAACACGTCTCAAAAAAGTTGGGACAGAGCAATGAAAAGCTGACAAACTAAGGAGTACTGCTTCTATACAGAGTACACTATACTCCCTGCCCTCCCTATTTATTTATTTATTTATTTCAGGTACTTATATAGCGCCACCAATGTACGCAGCACTTTACATATATATTGTACATTCCCATCAGTCCCTAACCCTCAAGGGGCGTACAATCTAAGGTCCTTAACCCTCAAGGGGCGTACAATCTAAGGTCCCTAACCTTCAAGGGGTGTACAATCTAAGGTCCCTGACCTTCAAGGGGCGTACAATCTAAGGTCCCCAACCCTCAAGGGGTGTACAATCTAAGGTCCCTAACCCTCAAGGGGTGTACAATCTAAGGTCCCCAACCCTCAAGGGGCGTACAATCTAAGGTCCCTAACCCTCAAGGGGCGTGTACAATCTAAGGTCCCTAACCTTCAAGGGGCGTACAATCTAAGGTCCCCAACCCTCAAGGGGTGTACAATCTAAGGTCCCCAACCCTCAAGGGGTGTACAATCTAAGGTCCCCAACCCTCAAGGGGCGTACAATCTAAGGTCCCCAACCCTCAA